CCATCAAAGATTCCTCATGCCGAAAGTGAGCAGGAGGCGTCGAATCTGTCAACGAAGCCGAAGGCGTCAACCAACTCCGGGACCGGCTTTGGAGATCGGAGATTCAAGTATAAGCGATCAGGAAACGCCCCCAGAGCCCGATGTGCGAACTCAGCTTACGCGGCGGAATCGGTCCAGCGTGTTTGAAGCAAGAGTTCGGCATGCAGTTGATGCTCAGCGGGCTTCAATGGAAATCCTTGCTGATCGTGCTGATAATGTTGCACATCATCGTAGAAATGATTCGGTTTCAACAGTGACGCGGCGAAGTCGGAGAACGCTCGGTATAGCTCGAGAGAAACAACATAGGCCTTCCGCCTCTCATCATCTCGGTAGTATGGACGATATCTGTAGCGGGTGCGGGGCCGAACACTTTCCATCCGAAAAAACTACGACCGGACAAAATGCTTATACAATGTGCTGTGCGTCGAACAAAGTCCGATTGACTCGGTTCCGAAATTTTCCAACGGTACTACGATCACTCTACCTTGGTCAAGATAACGATTCCAAGCATTTCCGACAGTACATTAGAAACTACAACAACTCATTGGCGATGGCTTCGATGACGGCTAAGATCGAGACGCCTCGCGGTTACGGTCCGTATTGTTTCCGCGTTCATGGCCAAGTCTACCATTCGTTTGGAGGTCTCTATCCCCGCGAAGCTGAAGCGCCCAAGTGTGCTCAAGTCTTAATTATGGACACTGAAGTGGCAGCCCACGAACTTGCGGGTCGACAAGTCAACACGGGCTGCCGAGAGACAATCTTTCGTCTTCTACATGAACTCTTGAGGAGTACAAATCCATATGCTCAAGCATTCAGGCTAATGGCCGATGTCGTTCGCGATGAAACGCACGAAGCAGAGCTCCAGGGTCGTCATACGAGATCGGTTAGAATGGTGTTCGAACACAGGACGGTCGACGATCAACGTCGCTACAATGCTGCGACAGCCAATGAAGTCGCCGTCGTCTACGTGGGAGACGAAGACAATATTCCAGGAGAGTGTCGTTTAGTAGTGTATGAAAAGACCGGCAGTCTTCGTAGTATTCCTCATCTCGATGAGCGTTGTGATCCTCTCGCGTATCCGCTTTTGTTTCCAACTGGGGAAGGTGGTTGGCATCCCGGGATGCAGCGAGAAACATCGAATATGGATCTACATTCAGATGGCGTTCCGACCGCGAGATCTCGAATCACCCAAAAAGACTTCTACTCATTCCTGCTGTTAAGTCGGACCTCTGTCTTCAATCCTTTGCATCACGCGGGCAAACTCCTGCAGCAATACATCGTTGACAGTTGGATTAAGATCGAGATGAATCGCCTGAACTATATCCGCCTCAATCAACGTCAACTAAGGCTTGACACCGTTCGCGGTTTGCAGGACTTCATGCTCGGTGATACCGATAGTGATGGACCACCGGGCCGGAGGATCATTTTAGCGGCTTCCTTTACTGGAGGACCCCGATACATGGTAGCGCAGTACCAAGATGCCATGAGTATCGTGTCGAAATACGGAAAACCCGATCTGTTCCTTACCTTCACTTGCAACCCGACCTGGCCAGAAATCGTCGACAACCTCGCACCCGGTCAAGTAGCCTCTGATCGACCGGATTTAATAGCGCGGGTCTTCCAGCTCAAAGTCAAAGCATTTTGCAATGAAGTCATCAAGAACCAAGTATTAGGCGAGGTCGCCGCATACATTTATGTGATCGAGTTCCAGAAGCGGGGCTTACCCCACATGCACATGTTGCTGACCCTCACCGCTGATTCAAAACTCAGAACCCCTGCAGAAGTTGATAGCTTGATCAGCGCAGAGATCCCCGATCCATCCAACGAAGCCGCGTTATACGAAATCATTTCCAAGTGTATGATCCACGGTCCGTGTGGGAAGCTGAATCCTTCTTCGCCATGTATGGTTGACGGGAAATGCTCGAAACGCTTCCCCAAAGCTTTCAATAACGACACATCGCTCTCTACAGAAGGTTATCCAGAGTACAGACGCCGTGAGGATGGCCGTTCGATATGGCGCAACAAACATCGAGTAGATAACCGCTCAGTCGTTCCTTATTGCCCTTATTTATCGTTAATGTTTGGAGCACATATCAACGTCGAGGTATGTGCTCTTCTCCACGCCATCAAATATCTCTTCAAGTACCTCTATAAGGGACCGGATCGCGCAAGACTCCGGTTGCATCAAGGAGAACCATCTGAGGACGAAGCCTTAGATGAGATCACCGATTACTGGGATGCACGGTACGTTTGCGCCCCAGAGGCAGCTCATCGAATCTTCGGCTTCGCCCTGAGCGATCGCAGTGATGCCGTCACTAGATTGCAAGTTCATCTGCCGGGGTTCGAGACTGTGCGCTTCGAAGCAGGGACCGAAGAATCCGCATTGACGGCAGCGAGGTACCGTTTCTCCACTTTGACGGCTTTCTTCGATAAGAACGCCCGGTGTCAGAATTTGGAAAACGAGCAAGGATCATTCCCTTCAGATATGATAGATAGCCGTAAGCTTCGCTACAATGAAATGCCGGAGAAGTTTATCTTCAAGAATGAGATGTGGCAAGATCGGAAACGCAATACAACAAAAACAATTGGGCGGATGTACTTCGTCAGCCCTCATGATCATGAGCGGTTCGCCTTGCGACTCCTGCTCCTCTATGGAAAGGGCTTCACGTCCTACCAAGATGTTCGAACCGTCAATGGTGTCGAGTATCCGTCCTTCGTCGAGGCAGCTAGGGCGAGTGAGTACGTGAGGGACGATTCATATTTTTCCGCTTCTATGCAAGAAGCTGCTGCTCTACGAATGCCGAGTCAACTGCGAAGTTTTTTCGTCGCTCTGCTCACCTTCGCAGACTTGATGCCACCCTATACAGTTGAGCTGTGGCATGAGTTCAAGAATACCTCATGGAGGACTTTCTTAATGCTGGCATGACAGCAGTCGCTGCTGAATCCAGAGCGTTCCATGATATAGCACGTCGGCTCGAGGACCTCGGCAGAGATATTCGAATGATAGTACCGCTTGATATTCCTGAGCCGCTGCCAAGTATGACGGCTATTGATTTCGAGCACCACCAATCTCAAGGAGACCAAAGGTATCGATTGCTGAATCACGAGCAGAAGTTTGTTGTGGACACCATCATGCAAGCAACAAGCAATCGACATGGTCAATGTTTCTTCATTGACGGGCCAGGTGGCAGCGGGAAAACATTCGTTTACACGACGATATATCATCTAGCAGTCTCAAGGAATCTCACTGTGCTGAATGTTGCCTGGACTGGGATTGCGGCTAATTTACTACCAAACGGTCGAACTGTGACTTCTGCCTTTCGCCTAATTGTTCCAGGCAACAACCGATCATCGAGCATGAAACGCCAATCGAAAGAAGCTCAAACTCTTCGTGAAACCGACATCATCGTCTGGGACGAAGCTCCGATGGCTCCGAAAACCGCGCTAGAGACAATCGACATGTTACTTCAAGATATCATGCAAAACACCGCACCCTTCGGTGGGAAAATTATGGTCCTTGGAGGAGATTTCCGCCAAATTCTGCCAGTGGTCGAAAAAGGATCTCGACGCCAAATCGTGGAGTCGTGTCTCAAACACTCCGATTTGTGGAAACATTTCCATCAGCTTGAATTGACGCACAATATGCGATTGACTGAGACTGATACAATTTTCCGAAATTGGCTCCTCCAGGTGGGAAACGGAGAGCTACCCGCTATCATGGAAGTCCCCCAAGACCTACGATACCGGGAAAACCTCGCCGATGAAGTTTATGGGGCAGCTTTCTCCGATTTTCAAAATCTTGATCTCACCGAAATATGCATTTTGACGCCGAAAAATGCTGAAGCTCACCGGATCAATGATATCGTCCTCGATAAATTTCCTACTCTCAAAACGACATTCTTGAGTCAGGACGATGCGATCGTAGAGGACCCCAGCGACGCCTACAACTTCCCGACGGAATTCCTGAACAAAATGACACCTGCTACACTTCCGCCTCACGAATTGCACTTGAAAGAGGGATGCATAGTAATGCTCTTACGTAACTTGGATGTGAAGAATGGACTGTGCAATGGAACGAGATTAGTCGTCGACACGATTCTCTCCAGAGTGATTATCTGCAGCTTCGCGACAGGATGCAAAAAGGGATCGTCAGTATTCATCCCGCGAATCGATTGCTACTACAATCACGTGTCACTGCCGTTCCGACTTCGACGGAGGCAGTTTCCGATTCGATTGAGCTTCGCGATGACTATAAATCGCTCTCAAGGCCAAACGTTTTCGCGAGTCGGCATCGAGCTCCAAGAGCCGATATTCGCGCACGGCCAACTTCACGTTGCCTTATCGCGAGCGACGAGCCGTGCTGCCATTACCATATCAGCTCTCGAGAATCGCATGAGAAATATTGTTTATGAGGAGGTTCTGCGATAAACTAATTGAAGCCTCTGTCAATCTCCAAAAGTTGCTTCTAGGCTCCTGAATACGGCCTCCACAGCTCCGTATCCTCTCAGTCCAACGGAAATTCATTCTCGACAGAGAGGACAAGAATGTTTTGATTCCAGGGGGCTCTTTCCACGACAACAATATTTAGCGAGCTAGGTCGACTTGATGGTACCATTCTCGGTCCGACCTCTACAGGCGCGTCCATACGATTTTAGTCTGAGGGGAAGAACAACTCGATTCTTGAGGGCCCGGGGAGTGAAAACATACACACAAAGCTCCGCTGCCCGAGGATAACGAATCGAAGACAGTCGGTCAGTCGGCAGTTCGGCACTCCAGATCCGGTGGCTCTGATCACCTAGCATTCTCATGGACAGTAAGGCTCTGTTCCTCAAAACAGCATAAGGAATATGAGGCATCGAATCCTATAAACAGCTGTCGACGCTCATGAGTTCACTCCGAATGTGTCTCTTACTGTAACCAAAATCTCATCGACTCTTTCCCAGCCTTGGACGTGTACCGCTACTTCCGCATCGAGCTACATAAATCCGTCCTAAATAACTTCCCGAGATTCGAACGGCTCAGATCCTTAGACATGTTGAACGACACGCCCGTCCTCAAGAAACTCTTCGTCCTTGAGCGGGACTATGTCGATTGGAGCCTCGACGGCTCTGGACATCCTCAGCCAATCATTTGTCATGTCCTATACATCGCCTTTAGGAGACCGATATGGATGAATGATTTGGTCTTGGATCCCGTCCATGTGTTTTTCCGCTCGGTGATGCCTCTGTGCGAGGAACCCGACGTGGGACGAGCTGATGAACAAAGCCTTAAGTACAATGTTCTATGTCGCGAAAATAAATACTGTCCTTCCTTAATAATTACTCTCACGGCGGACAATCCCAACGGAACTAAACCAAGTCTACGAAATCTACACTCCACGCTAAGAATGCATCCCTCAATAATCCGGCGAAACCGCTAGAGCTTTATTAGGAGAAACGTTCTTTCACTCCGCCGTTTCATCACCATCGGCTTTGAGAAGGGACGGGATCATGAGCTCTAGCTCTATGAGCTGCGGATGTAAGGAGAGGGGGTTGCCAATGAACCTCAACCCGGTGCACAGAAGACATGCTTTACATCTTCGAATCGAGGTCCACACGTCTCTCTTGAACGTGGTTTCGCCCAAAGGCCCAACGATCGACCCTAAGTCGATACTCACAGACACCAGTTTACGTCCACCCGATCCGCTTTTTTTCGGTTCCAATCGCATGACACCTAGCGTGATGATTCAGAACTGTCTCTATGAGCTTCTGTCCAATACGACGCTTTCGACAAGGCCAAAAGTAAAGCAAATACGTGCAAACCACTCAATTTCGTCGTTATCAGCGCGGAAATCCATTTTAGTCGGATTCAATCGACTCGCCGATTCGCTCCAGCATCGCAGAGGACGAGCTTTTATATAGTCGACGCCTGATTTGTTGGATTCGGATTGGAAATTATTCCCCGTTTATAAACCAAATGTATACTTTCGCCCCTCCACGAGCCATGGAAAATAGATTTTAGGATCGTAGATCCTTTCTTGCAATCCTTTTTCGAGATCATTTGTCCGGACTGGGAGGAGCTACATGTCTAAGGATTGCCCACGCTTCTCTTCAGACAACGAAAAGCAATGCATCGTTGGCATTCAGCCGTGGGGGCGCGAAGCGCCCTCACGGCTTGTTCAGGAATAATGCCAGTACAGTTCGCCTCCGAGGCTGTGGAGACGTTGGACATGCATCTCGCATGGGACCTCACGACATCTTGTCCCTTGATGAGCAGACATGAGGTCTCATCCTCTTTGGCGCGACATAACCAGCCGAAAATATGGCGAGAGCATCGGTATAGGTTCATGTTGACAATCGACGAGCCGCTGGGACGAGGAGGAGTGTCGATCCCAGGATGATTTAGAGCAGGTGAACGAGTGGTGGTCCTGTTCACAAAACCACCAAAACCAACCGGAACATCGTTCGAATCAGAGGATGGAGTCAGGATAATGACGATGAGAAAAACTGAAAGAAATTATCATGCTCTCAGACACTCATCTGTGATATATGGATATATATCATGTCAATTCATCATGTTGGACGAAATCAAAACCCACCTCCAATCAGAATAAGAGCGATAATGAGGAGAGTTCCTTTGTTAGATGAGATGGAAAGTCTCACTCTCCAATTCATTGTACCGATCCTGTCAGTGGGGGGACGCCTACCGGACTGATGAGCTTCGGCCCCTTCTTCCAGAACTTCAAGAACAGATTCAGAGAAATCTCTGATCTGCGATGATGCAGAGCCGGATGGTGGTCGGTTCGGTCTTCGAATGAGAGATCGAAGACCCTCGAGATCTACTGTT